TTGGTATGTTACCTTGAAGCATGATGGTTCTTGTCTATAGTAGCCTTGAGGAACACTTAGGTGTGTATGAAGAGGTTGTATGGGCGGCCATTTCATGTCTCACTCAAGTGTGTCTTAGGGTAACTTTAGATAAGGGTCCTTGGACAATGAAATGAGTTACGTGGTGAAAATGTTGAGTATGTCTATAATGTGGTTAATGTCTTATATGTTGGTCATGTTCTATAATATGTCTAATATGTCAATGTTCATGAAGTTTTACTAAAATGGCATAAGGCATGACTTTCAACCAAATGTCCTTTTTAGCATGTTTTTGCATAGTTTCCATACTTAGTACTTAATTGTGCTAACCCTTTTCTTTCCCTTTTTGGAATAAAGTGTAGGGATTTGGAGATGATGACATGTCATGGCTATTTGATAGATTTCTAAGTGTTGAAGATGAAGACTTGGTGAGTCCTCATAGATACGAGGACAATACCCAATATGTTCTTTTATATCTTTTTAGTATTGTTTAAGTTGTGTATGGGATTAGTCTCGAATTTTGTATTCTAAAGTATTAGATGGTTTTGAGACATCATGTATAAAGTCTAGGAAGTCTTCCGTTTGCTATAATTTTTTTTTATGAAATGTTTTCTTGTTAAAGAAAATTTTTAATTCCTTATGGTTTTAGTGTCTATACGATGAATGAATGCTAAGAGGCTTGTATTAGATCTCTTCGAGGTCGAGTACGCCGGTTACGACTAAGGGGTGCTCCCGGGTCGTGGCAGGCCTAGTTTTGTTGGTTTGCTGAAGCTTGTGAGTTGTTTGATGTATTGTCTTGATATATACCTGCTTCCAGTTTTTGTATAGATATCATGGAGGCCTCGATGGCCCAGTCAGGACTTCTGTGCTAGTTGGCTATTTCTTTATATGAACTCTTGGGAGTAGCTATTTCATGTATATACATATTGACAGGGGCCTTACCGGTCAAGGGTTTAGTTTTAAGCCGGGATATACTAGTTTGTTTTCTTGATTGCGTCTGTCTGTCATGTGCTAGTAGCAAATGGTTCAGCAGGATCGGTTCGAGCCTGAGTTTTGGCATTAGGAGCCAGTTGTGCCCCTTGAGTTTGGGGCGTGACATAACATTTTATGATGTATTTTTCATCGTATTGATATGCAAAAAATTGCAATTTATAGTACTTTTCGTATATTTTTTTAATATCTAAATTTTTTGTTTAAAATATCGAATTATAATGTAATCTAATTTAACTTTGAAAATTAGTCAAATTAACTTTCGAAAAGTGCAACATGACAATTAAAAATGGACGGAGGGACGGAGGGAGTAGTTTTCAATTTTTTCCCAAGTTTTTCCCCAACTATATTTGTGGTCAAACGGACCCTTCTTTACCTTCTTAAATTTTATGTAAAGTTAAAACCAAAAATTTAAAAAGAGAGTATTAAATATAGTATTCTTTCTATTTTAATTTCTTTATCTTGCTTTACTTTTTATTTTAAAAAAACGTCACTTTTTGTATTTCATTATAACTCTTTACACCTAATATACTACACTAAATATTGATTTGGGCCCTCAAAAATTTGAGACCCAATTTTTTAATAGTTTAATTTAAGGGCAAATTACAGAAATCACATATTTTTAAGGAAAAATTACAATATATCCCTTAAAAGTTTATAAGTACAGAAATCCCTCAAACGAATACAATAATATAAGCGCTAATACATTAATATGATGCGCGAGATACATTAATCGTTAAGTAAGATACATTACATTTTATACATGATACACTAATCTGATGTACATTTTATACATGATACACTAATCTGATGCGCGAGATACACTAATTTGATGCGCTGATACATTAATCTGATGTGCGAGATACACTAATCTGATGTGTGAAAATGAGAGATTTTGAAGATTTGTAAAACTTATAGGGGATAATGGTAATAAGTAAAATAAAATGTGGGATTTCTGTAATTAATCCTTAATTTAAACAATATTAAAGTTCGTAGGAAATTTTAAAAAGTCCAAAAATACTTGAAGAAAGAATAACATTGTCTACTTTTCAACAATATAAAATATTTTAAACTTTAAATTTAATTATTTAAATTATCATATTAGTAAATACATTTCTTACAACAACATCAAAGGTAATATATTATAAATACATGCTTAACATTTTGTATTTATTCAATTATCTATTGCTAATATAAACAAAGACTCTATGTCCTTTAAGCATATTATATCATAAATAATGATTACGAAAAAGAATGACAACACTAACTTTTTTAAATGTGTTAGGCAAAACAAAACTTAATTTATTTTTATTTCAATCTTCTTTAACGAAGTAAAAACTACTTAAGAAAATGCTAAGTAAAAACGAGTATAAAAGAAATTATGATTCATATCAATTAACAACAATTTCCTAGCACAAGGAGTAATAAGTCGCAGATATATTGGAATTACAATAAACAAAAAAAAATGATTTCAATAATCAAAAACATGATATCAGAACTTGTTATTTTTTAAGAAGGCGGGAAAAGAGCAAATGTGAGAAGAAAAAGAATAACGGGTAGAGTATGGAGTTAGAATAATGTTTTCTGCATAAATAGAGAGAGATGAGCCATATTTGTTTTGGTTGTAAAATCCTATTGGAGCTTCTTTTTAGTGTGTGATATGAAATATTCTAAATATTTTGCTTGACTATTTCTAAAAGAGTAGTTTAGTGTACGTATTTTTTTTCATGTGCGTCTCACAACAATCAATAATATAATTTTGAATAATATTCAATTCTATAACTAATTTTTTGGGTTGAGTTAAAATTATATTTAAACAAAACAATCCAACATAATAAACAAAATGTGAAATAATAATTCTATTTCTAGACTAAACTAATCAACAAGCAGTCGAAATCAATACATGATTTTGTACAATTTGATCAAAAGATCAATTCAAAAATATGATTGCATCTCTACAATACACCACTAATTATTAACAAATTTGGCTAATATGAAGGATCGAATGAATTCCATCAAGTGTTCACCGGAGATTGAGATGATTATTTTTCCTATAATATGATCTTTAACAATATTCAATTCTAAAACTAATCTTTTAGGTTGAGTTAAGATTATGTTTAAAGCTAAATTATGGGAAAATATGAATGTGAATAGGAGTGTGCAATCTTCATGTATTAATGCTTCTTTAGGAAAAAAAGAGAAAGACAATACGTAATTCATGATGTGATAAATGCATGCATTTTAATCATATTTTGTAGACTTTTCAATTTCTATTGATCTCCTATTGCATATGCTCAAAGCATCCCAAAGTCTACTATGATCAACACTTTGTACACAAAAAATCTATATAAAGAATACACAAGTGTCTCATATAATTATAAAAAAAAAAATCAATTTTTAGATCATACTAATAAAGATGAACAAAAGTTTATTTTATTTTTAAAAAGATAAATTAAATAAAGATTCAAACTTTACCAGCCGCAAATACATGAGTATCTGTGATTTGATTGGAGGCCACCAACTTTAACTAGCCATGTAATTTTTTAAAATAAAAAGAAAGTAACATTAATAGAAAAGGAGTAGTTTATCAAAAAGAAAAGAAAAAATAAATTAACAAATTTTAACCTTCTTAACACTATATTCATATGAGGGTTTCAGTTTCTCATAAATTAAACGAACAGAAATAAAACCATCCAAATTTAGCCATATTTAATACTAAAACTACCTGTTGTTTTGGGATACCAAGGATTTATATAATAGTCAATATTGAATTTAATAAAGATAGTGAAATAATAATTTTAAAAAATAGTAAAATAAACGATTATGTGCAAAGCGAATATTTTAATAAAGAATAAAAAATCCAAACAACATTATTAAGTATCTTCCAATTTTTAATATAACATTCTTTAATTTACAATTTCACCATATAAAATCTACTTTTATATTTTAAAATTTTGTATCAAATTAAACAAACAAACAGAAGATATGCTTGCATTGTCAAGGATATGACTTGTGAGAACTCACTTTGTATATGAGACTTGGCCAAACATGTGAAACAAGTACACGTAGACATAGTTAATTACAACCACATAAATACTTGTTCAAATTGCCCTTTCCCCAACAAACAAACCTACTCCCACTTGTTACTTTTTTTCATTCTTATTTAGACCATAAACTACCCGTGCTCATAATCAGCACACACTAATTAAAAAATGGAAAGTAGCTCTCCCTAGTATAGTATATAGACGTATTTAAGATTTTAAGATGATAGAGTGCATTATTATAAAAATAAAAATAAAAGATAGATTTAAGATATAGATTTGATTAGTTTGATATTTAATTAGGTTTTTACTATTGGAAATCATTAAAAATTTAAAATTATAGGTTCAATTTTTTTTTTAATCTAACCAAATCATTTAGAGAGGTGTTACCCAATTTTAGGAAAAAAAAAAAAAACAAGATAAATAAAATATTCAAATTTCTAACCTTGCTTAGAGAGGTGCACCCAATCATTACCGCACGATATTGTGATACTTTGAGTGTCGATTCATACACTTCTATTTAAAAAATATAACACTATTATATATAATTTCGAAAGGGAAGTATGGGTTCATGTGAACCTGCACCCGTAAGTCCCTCATACCAGATACTCCCTCTATAATTCAATCTATTTGCATTGATTTGGAGCAAGTATAAAAGTTAAAAATTCAAAATATTTGAAAAGGATATTCTTAAATAATCCAAATTATAAGTTATAACTAAGAAAAACAAATTAAAAATAAAACATGAATGAATGAACTTAACTTTCACGAAAAAAATATAATTACTCATCATGCCTTTTTTTTAAAACGTTTTTGAGCATATGAAAACATTCATCTTATATAATTAATAATACGTATACACCACATTAGCTATATAACATAGTACTAACAAAATACTAAATATTGCACGTAGTTCGAGTCACAATACATTCCTATAGTTATATTTTACGCATACAAAGTTTTAATTTAACCATGACGTTCGGGAACTGATGGTGAACCACCACTTCCCGAACCAAAACCGCCTCCACTACCACCCGAACCACTTCCAGCTCCATAACCACCACCATGAGCCCCACCGCTTCCGTAACCATAACCATAGCCCGAACCAGACCCGCTCCCTGACCCGGAACCAAAGCCCCAGCCTCGTGCAAATCCATTAGGAGACCTACCCGAGCCCGAACCATAACCCCATCCTCCGCTCGGGCTTGAACCCCAACCCCAATTGTAATCCCAGTTAGGCCCATGAGCCGCGCCACTACCTGAGCTAGGTGATCCCATCTCGGTATTCGAGCTCATCTTCCTTCCGCCGACCGGGCTAAGGGCTAAAGAACCGGCGGAGATAGTAAAGATAATAAAGATAAAAAGAGCGAAATGGATGAATTTTGAATGCATTTTTAAGCTAATAGTACAAGGTAATGATAATGTTAGCACAAAGGGAAATGTTTTTTGTTTGAATGCTTCAGCAATATGCATGGGGGTTTATATATAGTAAAGAAAATGGGTATTTATTCATTGATTTTTTTGTTTTTTTTAATGTAACCAAAAAAAAGAAAAAGATTATTTGATTGATTGATTGGGGTCCGGCCGGTATCCACTCGTGACACTAGGAAGGGCGTGGGCCGTAGTGAAGCACTTGTCAATAATGTGCATGCTCTCCACATGATTTGCACCACCGCCCCTTCCTACTTTTGCAATTTAAAATTCACCACAAATTTCACCATGTCTTGCCCTTTAAAGCAATTAAAATATCTTAGATAAGTCCATCATTGTGAATTCTGATCAACAAGATATAGGTGAAAGTCAAAAGTTTAATTTTATGGATTCTCAATTTTATTTTATAATGACGATTGAAATATGAAAATTTTATTCACTTTAACACTCTCCTTCACGCTCAGGTCCCATCGGAGTGTGGTTCAGGAGTCTAGATGGGGATGAACCTGATTCTAATATCGTGTAAAGATATGGTGTCTGGGCCTAACTCAACCACAAAAGTTAGTTAATGAAGAAGAATTGCCCAAATCTATATAGCAGATTGTCGATCTCATCTCCAATAGTGTAGAACTTTTACCATTCTAACACGAATACACTATTTAAATTTTAAACAAAAGTTACTGAGTTGTAGAATCCGTATATGGACTTCTAGCTTGGCTAACACCAACAAGTCACTTTGTTTCCAACTCTTCATGAGTTTTTACTCACAATTCTACTTTCATTTTCATACCTAATATCAACTTTCAATTACTTTTATTATTATTATTAATTAATTAACTTAATTTATAGGAAAAAATTAGCAATTAAGTCATAATATCTAACATAATTAGTCAAAACAATAACACTTTAAAATATTTATTTAAAATGTCAGAATGGCAATATTTTTAGAAAATAATATGTATTCAGATTTTATTATTTAAAAATTAATTTTATTTATGAAAACAGTCCTATATTGGACCAAATTCTAAACCAATAACCGTTTGAAAAGAAAAAAAAAAAAGCCAATACCCATTAACCTTCCTTCTTCACCTTTCGCGTTTCTACTCCCACCTTTCACGTTTTCATATTCTCTTTCTTCAAGGTGCTCACAAATTGTTCATCAAAATATATATTTTAATTCAAGAAATTTTCTCGATTGTTAAACGAAATCTCTTTATTAATTCAAAAGATTTCTCGATTGACAAGGTAATTTCCATTATTTATTTAGATTTATTTTAATTTGCTGTTTAAAATCACCGATTATGGTGTATATTTCGGATACTATATATTACGAATTTTCAATCAATTTTTTTTATTTTTATGTGATTTTGTTTAGATATTCATCAAATATTTATGTATTTCAGATTTTTATTCGTTTTTTCAATTTTTTTTGTGATTTTCTTTTAATTTTTCAGATTTTTTAGAATCTAGAAATTCATTTATATGTTTATTTTGTTTGATATTTAATACATTTATATTTTGATAGTATCAAAATTTGCTTTTAGGGTTTTAGATTTTGGGGAAAGCATCTGATTGTCTATAATGACTGAATCAATCAGAAATTTATCGGTATTCATTTTTTCGTTTAAAATACAAAATCATACTAAAATACAACCTGATATTTGAAATACAAACTTAGTAAGAGATAATTTTGTATTTTATTTGTCTAAAGCAATATATTTTTTATGAATACATAATATATAAAATTGCGACGAATACGTCACAAGAAGGAGAATACAAAATTATTGGTATTCATTTTGCGTTTGATATACAAAATGATATTGAAATACAACCTGATATTTGAAAATAAAAACTGAGCCAAAAAATACTTTCTGCAAATTTAAAGTGAAATAATAATATAACAAAACTGGATATTGAAATATAAATACAATTTATTTTGAATACAACTTATTCTATGTATTATGTATTCATCTCAATTGTATTTTTCAATATCATTTCAATTTACAACTAATTTGTATTTATATTTTGGTATATACTTCACAACTGTCTTTATTTTTGTACTTGAACTAGAATGCCAAAGAGTTGTATTCATCATAAATCAATACCAACAATTTTTGTATTTTAAATTAATTATACATATCATTAGGTATTTGAATACATTTCGGATGAACACATATTTAAAGAAGTTCAAACATTTAAATATCCAAAACAGAGGGCATTAGAAATTTTTCAACACTTTCACTCATATAAGATATAAAATACAAACTACTGTTTTTTTTTTAAAAAAAAATTCTTAAGAACAAAGGAAAAAAACGGTAGAAAGAAAATGGCAACATATGCTCTTTCAAAAATGTAGTTGATGTTAAATTTTTTTAAAAAAAATTACCTTTAACAAAATTTAATGAAAAATTATTTAAATTGATTGAGTGACTTTCTAAGTGAAATATAACTAGTTGAGTGACTTTCTAAGTGAAACACTAATACACTACAAGAAAAGTATGAATTACATGGAAATTTTCCTGGGGATTAGTATGAAAATCCGTAGGAAACTAATTTTCCTGTAAATTTTCATACTAATCCCCAGGAAAATCCCCATGTAATTCACACTTTTCTTGTAGTGATAATTGAATGACTTTTGAGTTATAAAACAAAGTTGAGTGACTTTCTAAGTGAACAACTCAAAGTTAAGTGATTTTCTAAGTGAATTATTTAAAGTTGAGTGACCATATGAGATATTAACTCGTTGCAAGTGTTATCCACAGTTTCATAAGTTAAATCACTAGTCTAGGATGAAAAGAAAGAGCACAATTTCAACGTTATCATAATCATTTCCATGAACTTGCACTGTATATTAACATTATTGTGTAAACCCAACTTTTGCTTTAACGAGAATCTTAGTAGCTCAGTTGATTGACTATCTAAATTTCCACCTTGTTGGTGAGGGTTCGACTCCCTACATTGTAATCCCCTTCCCATTTCCCCTTTCCCTACCCACCCCCTCAAAAAAAAAAATTGCAAAACAAGTGGATTAAGACTTTTAATGCCTCCTAAAAAAAGTTAAACTTAGACTTTAGAACAAGAGGACCAGTTGTAGTTGGGATCATCATGATAAAACACAGTACATATATACAAGGGCGGCTCAACGTAATTGGGGGCCTAAAGCGAAATTTTAATTTGAGGCCTAAAATATAAATAAACTTTGTATACATATTTATTCAAAATTTATTTTTCTTACACTATTTAGATGAAAATTATTAGTTTTTAATATTGTTTTTCAGTTATTGCTTTTAGGTAAGATTTTATCAACTCAACATTGAAAACATCCTTTCAGTGAGACAATTATTATATGAATTGTTAACATAATTTTATAAGTAATAAGTTGACAAATATTAAATAAAAATAAGAGTAGAACCACAGAATCTGATTCAAAAAGTTGATGACTTGGTATACACCATTTTAATATGCTTGTTGTAATGTTTGAAACTAAAATTTAAAAAAAAATAAAAAAGAATTTGTAATTCACTTTGTTCAACACTTTTCACTATTAATTCTTATTTTTAACAAAGTATAAAAAATGTTAAAGTGGGTAAAATAATATATTTTTTATCATAATTAATCAATTTTTTATAAAAAAAATTAACACATAATTTATTCTTGATAGTAATTTGGGGCCCCCAAATTTTGGGGCCTAAGGCATAAGGCCCTGCATATATACTAAGACCAAGTGCTTTACTTTTTCAAAAACATGCATTGGATCTTAATTTTGAAAAGGTAGAATTATAAATTGCCACCATGCACTTATATACTGGCACTGGAGGTACCCCAAGAATATGGTGAAATGACAAAATTATTTTTTTAAATGAGAAATTTTGAGTTTGAGACTAATGAAGTTCTCTTTATCAAGAGCACCTAAAAAAACAGAAACAAACCTTTTATGACACTAATTCAAATCAATGGAGTTAATGATTTTGCACACCTAATATGATGTTTTAAACCAAGAAAAAAGTATTGAAGCTAATTTGTAGCGCCTAGTAATTGGGCCCCTAGAAAATATCTGAGAGTATCTTTGAATCATTATGGCTACCTATCAATGGTCTTTATACAATTAAGTACTATTTACTAGCTACCAAATCCACAAATGTATTATGTTATGTACTACTTATAAAGTATAAACAAATGTGTGGTTTCTATGAGTAAATTAATATAAAAATACATACGTAGAAATGGAGCACCTAGGTGGATGTTACTAGTACTCCATCCGAGGAGACAATAGTAACCTTATTTATTTAGTTGTCTAGTAGATTGCTGGTTCGAGTCCTGAAAACAACCATTAATATCATAGACGGTTTATATTATCACACTTATGGATCGCGTCCCTTTCCTGAATCCTACTAATGCGAGATATTTCATGTATCAAATTGTCATTTTTTACTCATGAGAATCCAACATTATCAATTACGTCAATAACAAAGAAAAAGTAGGCGTTTGGCCATGTGATACCATATCACGATATGGTTTCGTGAGATGGAATCAACGTTTGGACATGTGATTTTACGCTGATTTCATCTCATGATTCCATATCATGAGAGGTGATACCATATTCTCCAAAAACCATGATATGGAATCATATGGTGATTCCATATCATGATTTGAGATATTTTAATACAATAATTGATCCATGAGTTTATATTTTGTTAAAACAACCCCATATTTATATCTACTAACCATTTGTTTCATATGTAAATAAAATTTAAGTGCACATTTATATTTTATGTGTAAGTTATTAGTATTTAGTTACATATTTCCTATCAACGTTGTTTAAAGAGATAATATTTATTTTATGACTTAGCATTGTCTTTGAAGCACTATTTTTATTACTCTTACAAACATTATTTTTATGAAGTGCATTCTATAATGCTTCCAATTTATTTTATGTTCACAAAACTAATATTGATGTATTTTTTATTTGGTAGGATTGTGTTGGTGCGATTGATGGAACATATATAGAAGGTGAGGTT